CAAGTTCTTTCCTCTTAGTCCTCACCATACTGTTACACTAGTAGAACTTCAACTAGATTTGTTTCCAGGGGAGATAGATTCATAGAATTTCAGATTGCTTGGCCATACAACCAACCTCATTATCAGTGTACAAGTCTCTTCTGCAAGCATTACCTAGGTTAAGATCCAGCTTGTATAGGGCATGGGAAATTCATTGTCTCCTGAAGCAAATACATTTTGCTTTCGGAAAGTTGTACAAATGTTGGGTCAATATCTGACTTCCTAGGAATATACATTCCTCACAGTATAATATAGTGAAATGGCCATGGGAATCAGAATGAACTGATTTATTGGATCTTCGAGCTAAGTGGAAGACTTTGGGCAAGTAACTTGTCTCAGTTTCTTTATCTGTGAAGTGGCCATTTCAAGAGTTCATTGAGAGAGTTAAGTAATATTCCGTGTGTAAAATACCAGACATGGTATTTTGCTCCTAAGGTTCCTCCACATGCTTATCATGAGGAAATGTATCCCTTTGTGTTGATTCTATCCTGAGTCATATAGAAGTTTGAACTTCTTTCCCACTCAACTGTCATGTCTTTTCTGTTGCCTTTAAGCTGTTCCTTAAATGACATAATTTGGTGAGATTCTTCAGTAAAGTAATGCCACTGAGTTTATTTCTCTTAAAGATAGATGTTTAGAAGAAACACAGTGCCTCAGAGGTAGTCTTACCAGCAAAAAATAAACAAGAACCATCATCTACCATTAATGTTTGTTTAGAATAAAGTAATTTCTGTTTTGGAGGGAGCCACAGCATACACTTGGTCAAAATAATATGGAAATACTCCCCATGACATGAGGCATTTTATTTTGGAATTTTGATTTAGTTCCATGTGTTTTATTCACAATGAATTATCTCACTATATACATACAGTGGAAGCTACTAAGGTGAGTTGTGCTTTGCGTCAAAGTGCCACCAGAATCTTTTGTGCTTTTTTGTTTTTTTTGTTTTTTGGGTTTTTTTGGTACTGGGATCGAACTTGGGTCCTTGCACTTATGCAGCAGGCGGTGAAACACTGAGCTAAATCCCTGGTCCTCTTTTGTGCTTTTTTGTACCTGGTTTTTCTCTCCATATGTTTATATATAATATGTAATATGTGCTATGGTCTGTATATATTTTATAAATATATGCTTTCACCTTTCCTTATCTTTAGTTTGTCTAAAGAAAGGTGATTTCACATTGGAAAATTTAATGACAACAAAGTAAATACAAACTTTAAGATATGTTGCTGCAGTAGCTGTATCCAACACTGACTGTTTAGAAGTCCTTTCAGTTATGTTCTTACAACTCTTACTAGACAAAGTGCAGATTGTTGGATGGACTGACCATGGCATTTTTTATATAATTTTCATTTTATAAAAGATTAAAAACATTAAGTATTTTATATATAACTAATTTGTATATATGTGTTTATTTTATCCATTCATGTGATTTTAGAAAGTTATGTAAAAATCACTGTTACATTTTTACTTGAATCCTACACAGTTTTAGGTATTGTATTTTTAATATTCAGTGATCTAGATCATTTTGTTTGATTAAATATTTTCTTTGTGTTGTTTTCATAGTCACTGAATTAGTTTGGCCAGGCCTTTTTTCAATGGGACTGCCAAAAATAAATTCTAAAAAATGTCTGTGCCTTATACTTCTGAACTTAGACTGGCCTACAGACTGGCAATAAGAGGCTTGTAAAACTCATATGTGGGGTCTGCATTGTGTTAATGCTTGAGATTTATCTCCCTCCAAAGGTTCATAAACAGTATTGACCATTACATTACACACTGCAATTTTGATATGGTCCTAAGGTAGGATGCAGGTTTTAAAAGGCTTACAGAAATATTTCCATTTAATTTGTTGGACGTTCTTCAGGATGAGCCCTAGTAGTGAACTAGCATCAATTTGTTTTTATTGAGCATTTTCTAAAGATTAATAACACATGTCTCTTAAAGAACTAAGAAAGCAGCTGAAAATACACCCTGAATTCTTGTCTTTTTTTACTTTATTTGGTAGATTTAAGAAGCTATACTGATTCTTCAATCATTAAAATATACTTTGTATCCCTAAACCATGTAGTTTCTAAATGAGTTTCTTTGAGCCCATCCATGTTGAGATTCTTTTTGATTTTTCAAAGTAATTTGTTTATTGTTTATATTGTCTTTCGCTGCCAATGATTATCCTGAACTAGCCTTTTACTTTTTGCTACTATTGCTTCTTACTTCAGATTAAAAATAATGGATCCCTTTTTCTGTAATTTATTTTTTTGTGAAGAAATAACATCAGATTGTCTAGACTCAATAAGGATAGATAAAACTAGGTCATTTTCTCTATGGAGTTCACCTTTCGGTCAGTAAGATAATTGTAGATAACAAATAATTATGATATGAAGTAATAAAAGCTGTAATAGGACTATGTACAAAGTGCAGTGGTAGCACAGTTGAGGGAAAATAAGTTTCTTGTTGCATTTCATAAAATTGTTCTCAGTGGTGCAAACCACTGAGATAATTGCTGAGGATGCATGTGGGAAGAAAGAAACGTGTGAAAACAGTTGAGTCTCTTAAGAACAGTTTCAACAAAAACATTCTTATTCTCTAAAATGATGATTTTTTTCATCAGATAATGAAGATATATCTTTTTATTTGAATATAATTATTCCTACATAATAAAATTTTTGGTACTAAGTACCTTTTTATGAGTACATGTAATCATGGGTAACATCTTTTAAAAATATAGAGTTGGGTGTGATTTGGAGCAATGAATTGATTTGTCCATCATAGAATTTATTGACTATTCACCGTGTGCTAGGTCTTGTACTATATGATTAACAAAAAGAGAGATGGTCTTTGGTGTCATGAATTTGTAATCTAGTCATAAAATCTCTTGGGTAAAAGAACTCACTGAGATATTTTCTGTTGAAATACCTCAGACATACTTACTTAGACATGTAGCAATAAGCCACATTTTGTATAGAGGTATCACTGAAGGAAAAAAAGTTATATACCAAGGTTTCTTTCAATCCAAAAATTTTCCTTCAGATTAATATTCTATGAAGCTTTTGTATCTTTGGAATTTAAATATAACCAAATAGATAGGTAGATAGATAGATAGATAGATAGATAGATAGATAGATAGATAGTTTAAAAAATGGTATCCATCTCACTTTATGGCCTCAAAAGTCAAGCAAAGGATACTAAATTAAATGTAAAATGTTGGAAGTCTATTTCCGTGCTAAGCCATGACTAAACTGAGTATGGAATTGTCTATTTGATATTTTCTTGGTTCATAATTATTTATGCAGCTGTTACTTGGCTGACTTTCATCCAGGTTGAGTACTGAAATCAGCAGTCCATCAGATCAGGTGTACCCAAAATGTGTGGTGTATCTAAATGTGCTGTGTAGATCTGGTTTTATTTTCCTTCATACAATATTTCTTTTATGAAAGATTATGCCAATAGCAAGTACAGAACTGTTTTTCAAAATTGTTTTGAACTGCCCCAATTCTAACAGGTCCAAGTAGAGCCAACTGGAGAGAGGTGGGACCCTCCCTCCCTCCCTTCCTGGGCACTCTCCAGCTCCTACCCTCAGAGCAGCACAGATGTGGTGTCCTCGCTGCCAGTAAAAGGCAGGAGATGCTCGGATTTCTCTTGCCAGCTAATATAAGAACACATGAATTGAAAGGAAAACATCGATTCTTTCTGAGAAAGAGAAGGATTTAAAAACACACACACACTAGCTATAGAATAAGCAATAGCCGAAATCTGTGCAGCTTCTCATTAAGTTTTCTCGTACAGTGGATATTCTGTCAAGAACAACAATAAAACTATTTTGGTTCTGATTTCCGTATTTGGTTACTAAAAATCTCGATTAAGGTATGTTTGATAATTAGGTATTCAGATTACATCCTATGTACAAATCTGCCTGAAAAATACATTTTTCCCTGTGTGAAAGAGAAATAAGTATCTTTTATGACACTTTTCAATTTTATTCAATCTAATAGGCAGGTAAAAAAATTGAAACTCACCACTAGATTGCTTATAAATTAAAGATAAAACAAGATCAGTACACTCTAACTGGGAGCTACAGTGTATTGGTATCACTGTAGATTGCTGCTTTTTTTTCTTTTGGATAAAAAGTTATACTCCATTTGTATAAAAATAGATCAGAGGCCCGGGGATTTAGCTCAGTGGTTCTGGCGCCTGCCTCCCAAGCACAAGGCCCCGAGTTCGATCCCCAGTTCCAAAAAAAAGCACAGCACATACTTATATTGCTAATCTTTAACTCCAATTCTGTTGTCTGGCCTTACTTAGGAATTTTGGCCCAGGGATTTAGCTCAGTGGTTCCACCACCTGCTCTGCAGGCACAAGGACCCGAGTTTGATCCCTGGTACCAAAAATTTTTTAAAAGTTAAAAAAAATAAAAATAAAAATGGATCAAATATTTTAGGAAGAAACTTGAGAGTGGTGGCACATACTTATAACTGAAGCATTCTTAGGAAGCTGAGGCAGGAGGATTATAGGTTTGAGCCCAACCTAGGCAAATTAGCAATTTAGGGAAACCCTGCCTCAAATAAAAAAGGGCTGGAGATGTAGCTCAGCATGAAGACCCTGGGTTCAATCCCTAGTACAGCAAAAAAGAAAAGAAAGATTAGGGGTATCAGAGTTCAACAACAGTGTATGTGTTTTACAAATTTTTCTACTTCACATTTTTTTCATGAAAGAAATAGGTCGTATATTGTGTGTATGTAGGTATAATATGTATGTTATTATATATACTATAATATGTAGGTATAATATGTATAATTTGGCACATTTATCTCATGTTAAACTCATTATCTCAGTTTTAAAAAACAAAGGTATAGTAGTAATTTGATGCATCTGAAGTTTATATTTCTAATACTGTTGTAGAATTTAACATTGTGTTTTCTCTTTTTTTTTCTTCTTCCCTCCCTGCTGCCCCTTTCCTCTCACAGTCCTGGTACCTGGGCTAGCTTGGTTCCTTTCCAAGTGTCAAATAGGACACCCATCCTACCGGCAAATGTCCAAAATTATGGTTTGAACATAATTGGAGAACCTTTCCTTCAAGCAGAAACGAGCAACTGAGGGAAAAGGAAATACAACAATAGTTTAAGAAATTTTAAAAAAAGGAAAAGAGGAAGACTGGACAAAACAAAGGGAGAAAGGAAAGAAACTGAAGAAAGAAGATGATAGACCAGCAATTGCAGCACTTACAATCACTAATTCCCTTAAGGTTGAAAGTATAATGACATTAAAAGGGTCGATGATATTTCACGAATGGTAGATCGCAGCCCCTGCAACGTAGCCTTTGTTACATGAAGTCCGCTGGGAAATAGATGTTCTGTCTCTATGACAATATATTTTAACTGACTTTCTAGATGCCTTAATATTTGCATGATAAGCTAGTTTTCTTGGTTTAGTATTCTTGTTGTTTACGCATGGAATCACTATTCCTGGTTATCTCACCCACAAAGGCTAGGAGGCGGCATCAGAGGTGCTGGTGACAGAGCCATGAGCCAGCCATTTTCTAAGCACTCTGATTTCTAAGAGTTAAAAAAATATATAAAATCTCTGTAGCCTTTAGTTATCAGTACAGATTTATTAAATTTTGGCCCTTAACCCAGCCTTTTCCAGTGTGTAACCCAGTTCAAAATCTTAAAAAAAAAAAAAAAAAAAAGACAGAAAAGGAAAAAAAAAAAGAAAAAAAGAGAAAAAAGGGAAAAAAAAAAACCAGTTTGAACACAAAGGCTCTATGGAAGAAATGCCTCTATGTAGGTGAAGCGTTATCTCTGCATGCAACAGTAAAAATTAATATAATATTTTCCCCACAAAAGAAACACTTAACAGAGGCAAGTGCAATTTATAAATTTATATCTAAAGGGGAATCATGATTATAAGTCCTTCAGCCCTTGGACTCTAAATTGAGGGGATTAAAAAGAATTTAAAATAATTTTGAACAAATTTATTTTCCCCTCAGTTTTTGAGGGCATTTAAAAAGGCATTAAATCAAGACAAATCATGTGCTTGAGAAAAAAAATTAATGAAAACACAGCACTTATGTTGGTTTAGCTGCAGCCTCCTTGGAGGTAGAATTTATTTATTTAAAATTACTGGTTGCATCATGAACCCATAGGGTGTACAAAAGGCTCTATAAAATCTGCATTATAGAGACAAAAGAGGCAGGCAAATCCATGTCACAAGGATAAAGCTTACAGTTTACAAACTGGGAACGCCAGGGTGTAGGATATTAAAAAAAGAAAAAAATGCACTCTTGAGAAAACAAATGTAATCAGGGTGCTGAAAACTTGCATGGTGCTTTCAGACATTAGCCTTGTTCAACAAATTTCTTGTATTGACAGATTCGTAGTGTGCATGGGCAGACACATTTTGCCTCTATGTCTCTTAAAATTTTAATTAAAAATACTCTTTCCAGTAATCCTAATTTGCACGAAGATATAATGTCCACATTACGTGCCTTGCCTTGAAATCTAAAAAACAAAAACAAAAAAAAAACAAAAAGTGACATCACTACACTTGTTTTGCTGCATTTATTATCATTTTAAATCTTTACCATTTTTATGACAAAATATTTTGTACTCCAGACGAAGAAAAATGTGTGACATCATGGATTTTTTAGACAGTTATACCTTTATCTCACATTTATAAAGCATATCATGGCTGTGTATAGTTGCCGCTTAAAAATTGTAATCGACCAGCAATATTTTCAGTATTTTGGTGTTTTTTCTATTAACCTTTCATGTTTTTCATCTTCCAATTAATATTGGGGGGAGGGGTTTCAAATTTATACGAATTATGCAATACCAAGTTTTGCCTATGTAGGTAGTGCTTTTAGCTGTATTGGTTATTATAGGTAAGTACACAGATTTTTTTTAAAAAAGTATGCTTTTTGTTTGTTTGTTTGTTTTAATTGACCAAAGTGGGTACTGCTATTTTTGCAGTGTGATGAGGTCCTTTTGTGTACTGAGAGATGGACAGGGGATTTTTTTTAATATACATATATATATGCTGGGGCGGGTGGGAGGATTTTTAACACTTTACAGTGTAGCTGTGAAGCAGTGCACCCTGAGATGGGCTTGGGCTGCAAAGCGACTGTTCTGCCTACTGTGACAAACTTCCACTTCCACAGGTCCCCCTCTCGACTTTCCTACCTGGGGTGCGAGCTGAACTCATTTCTGGTTTTCAAAACAACAAAACAGTAAGAACAAGCAGACACAACAAATTCTCCTGGAGGCAGACTTGGCTTAGAAGAAACTGTCTTACTTTAGGTGGTGGTGGTAGCTTCTCTCGGAGGTGGCCGACCCTCCCTCGGTGGAGCGTGGGCCTGTCTCCTGCTTGGCTGAGACCTCTGTCCAATGCCCACAGAGCTGATGTCAGATGTTTCACATTGGGGGTTTAACACAGGAGTAGCTTTCTCTGACAAAACACTTTTGACGAACTGGAAGGAGTGCTTCCATATTCTTTCCCCTCCACTTCCTTGCACCATTTCATTTATTAATGATAAAAATTATATTAAGGATATGATTTACCTGTGACTTACTGCTTCAAATGGTTAGCAATGCGCTTCAGTTTCTTTCAGTATCCAGAAAATTAAATGGAAGGTCGCTATTATTGAATGTATTTGGACTGATAGATTAAAATCAAAGTTCAGTTTCTAAGGAACAAAGTAAAGAAATAAATCTTTTTTTTTAAATTTCACCTGCCCCTTTAAACTAAAAACTAGAGCAGAGAGAAATATAGAATTTTAAGAACTTAATTTTCCTGTGGATTAATTAAACCCATTAGATACTGATGGGATTTTTTTTTTTCAAGAGATAGTACCTCAAATATAGATTTGATTTAGTGTCCCTGAGGATTAGAGGGTGAACGGAGGCTGGTTTTATCCTGTCCTTCCCCCTCTTCAATCCCACTTAGTTCCTTACTAGAGGGAGATACTTCAGAATTGGTGATACATGGTAGGCTGTTTTAAGGAGCCCCTGACCCCCTCCCCGAACGTTGCCTAATAAGATAGACTGTCAGTTGTTCTCGCAGCATATCATTTGATACCGAACACTTCAGAACAGTGCTTATGGGCTGGAGGATTATATCACTGAGCCCATTTGGTCTGATGCCTACACACTGATTAGTGGCGCAAGTTCCCGAAGAACGGGATGCTTGCCCGTGGAAGGCGGGTCCTCGGCTGGGCCCTGTGCATCTCTGACCCACGGTGGTGAGCACCTCCACCTCCCAGGACACAGTATTCCCTGAAGGCAGACTCGCTCTGTTTTGCCAGTGAACGAACAGTTGTAGTTGAATCCAGTGGCGCACTGTGGGTATTCCTGCCTGCGTCTGGACTAGAAAGGCCTAGTGCAAGTGTTGCTTTATTTTTAAGTCAATTTTTTGCTTACTTCCCTTTGAATTAAAACAATTAAAAGTACTACTATAGAATCTCAAGTCCACTTTTCGGCCTCCTCCTCTTACCAGGAAGTATATTCGGACTGACAAGGGCCCCACTTTGCAGGTCTTGCACGCCCTTCCCTTGCCCAGAGCCGCAGAGCGCGGGCTGGTGGAGGGACCCAGGTGTCCTGGGTTGCAGCAGCCCTGGCCCCAGCGGTCCCTGATGCTTTGCTCCGCGGCCCACTGCTCCCAGAGCCCCGCAGCGCTTCTCCGGAAGGGAGGCTGGTCCGAAGAAAACTAGATAAATACCAGGCAGTGAAGGAGACTGTACATAAAGACATGGCAAAATCTTAATTATAGCAATATAGTTATCGGGTAATTTTCGGGTGGGCAGCTCCATTAAAAAGTATGTGAATGAATTTGAAGCTGCAAGTAGCAAGAAGAGCGGAAGGTC